GGAATTTTAAACTAACCTTGCACTGTTGGGATAAACCTTACTTGATAGTCAGGTGGTTGTTTGCAATGCCTGCAAGTCATTTCCGACTAATAGTGACCTGTATGGGGTCTCCAAGAAGCAGCTGGTGGGTTTGAAATGCCAACCTTGCGGATAGCAGTCCAGACATATCCTACCATGTCACATCATGATCCTTTTAAATATGTTGGCCTCTCTCAAGATTTCATTAAGAATTTTTGCATCTCTGTTCATGAGAGATACTGGCTGACTGATAGTTATACCTTTTTTCCCCCGGTTTTTGTGAATGCTGGCCCCATAGAATAAACTGGGGAATGTTTTTCAGTTTTCCAGAAAAGTTTGTGTAGAAATTTGTATTATTTCCTCCTTAAATGCTTGATAAAAGTCAATATTGGCTCTGTCTAGACCTGAGAACTCTGTTTTTTTTTCACTTTAAAATAATTGTAGACTATGGGAGAGATGCAGATTCCCATTTGCCCTTTACTGGGCTTCTTTTAATCATCCCACCATGTCACATTGCCTGTAGTGATAGCCCCTTTCATAGTCCTTTTGTAATTTGTGCCTTTCCTCTTAATTTCCTGTTCATTCTGACTAGAAGTTTATCAATTTTTACTTTTCGAAGAATCAGCTTTTTTTAAATTTGAATCCAAGTCTTTTGTTACTCAGCAGTTGAAAACATAGCCTCTTTAAAAAAATTTTTTTTTTCCTGGCTTTAATTTTAATCTAATAAATTTCAGGTTGTCTATTTTAGTTTTATTGTTACCTCATTCAATTATTGTTTTTCAGTTGGCCAATTCTTTCATATTTTTGCCTAGATTTAAAGGATGGTTTCTGGTTCAGAAAATTAGTATTTTATGAATTTCAGTGTTTGACTTTCATCTTCAGTAAAATACTGTGGTCCAGTGAGATTTTAGTTTGAGCTCTAAAGACCTTAGGAATAAGGTTCGATTAATTAAGGCAAAATTATATTTATAAATCATAATAAATGTGTAGCTACGATTTGATTTTTTTTTCTTCCAAAAATGCACTTGTTTCTTCAATTCCTATTTTCTTCACTTCCTTTAAAAATTCCTATATGCCTAGAAATTTAAGAGCCTATTTTACTTTTAGTTTTGTGGTTTGGACTTTATTCTCTTCTTCAGAAGTATGATAATCACTTAAATATCCAAAAGTTTTCATGTCTAGAATATTAAAATGGATAATAAAGAGGTAATAATTTGAAAAATGTTGGTCTTTCCATACACTCTTGTAATGCCCCTTTGCTGTTGGCAAGTTTAAGGTGAGTAATCAAAGAAACATACTTGAAACTGTTTAATGTTTTGAACTAACTTTTTTCTCCATACAGCTCTGCTAATTAGCATAGTATCATAGCCTAAATTCAAGGTAGATTGTACTTGTAATTGTTCTACAACTGACCATAAAGCTCGTCATATTCATTGGCAGAGTAGTTGTTATATTTCAGAGTTTACTGATTTGAACAGCCCACATATCATTAATGATTATATACATCCAAATTTCTCTGGAAGTTGTAACAGTCAGAAGAATTTGGTTAATGATGGCCATCAGTAAGTACTAATAAAGTCAAGAGATGATTCACATTATTCAGTGATAGCATTATTAGTAAAATTCCTTATAAGAAATGACTGGTTCATGTTTAAAATTCAGCTTGATTGTGTATATGTGTTTGTGTCTTGTTTTTCTTTGTTTTTTTGCTGTGTTTTTTAATACTACTAATACTTACTTGGTGTTTTGTTTTAGAAGGGGACCATCTGGACCAAGATTTGGACCTAGAAATGATAAAATTAAGCAGTAAGTTCCTGAGATGCTCTTTTGCTTAAATGATTATCATATTTATGTGTAACCAAGGGTTAGCAAACTACAGCCCATGAGCCAAATCTGACTGCCACCTGTTTGTGTAAATAAAGTTTTATTGTGCTACAGCCACATCCATTTGTTTTCATATTGCCTGTGGTTGCTTTTGAGATTACATCAGCGGAGTTGAATAGTTGTGGCAAAGTCATGTGGTCAGCAGAACCTGAAATATCTGCTATGTGGTCCTTTTCTGGAAAATATTTTCTGACCCATAGTGTAATTCTCGAATTATAAAAGCCCAATCTTTTTATTTTTGCAAATATACTAAGGAAAGCAATTTCTGGCTGATAGTTTTTGTTATGTTTTTAAATTGTTTGCATTATGTCACATCCATTTATTTAGTATAATCTGAAAATTTGTTTTGGTTTTAGGTGTATGCTTAATTTCCATTTTTGTAATGATAATTTTAAAAAAAGTAATGTGATAGATTTAATGTTTTGAAGTGTGTTTTTCATCTACTTCAAGAATCTTTTCATATTTGTTACTTATCCTAATCCATGTATCGGTCTAAGTTTTTTTGGCTAATGTTCTATTGGAAAGCCTTTCCTGTATATACTGTGAAGCCTGTGAAAGCCAGAACTTGTGTACAGCAGAAATCTGTTAGAGATTGATAGGAGAGTGGTGTCATTGCAGTGTCAAAGGCAGAAAAATTTCAAGACCTGAAAAAACAAGGCATTCTAGGAAAGTTCTGGTTCTCACAAGTTTCACTGTATTATTAGTGTTACATGATAGCTAGTATGCTATAGTGAATTTTCTGGTGTTTGAAGGCTATGAATCCTGTCAGGAAGGAAGAACAAATGGGCAAAGCAGTGAATTATGCATTAGGTTAAGAGAAGGACCTTGGACGAATAGACCAAGCTATGAAGACTAATTACGGAAGCTAAACTGAATGAATGACCCAGCTTCAAGACCATACGAGAGATAAGAATCACTGCCCTAATGCTGGAAATAGTTGGCACTATAATAATTTATCGAGTTACTGATCAGACACTTGGGCTTTAGTTGTTTTTGTGAAGAAATATGTCCATACTTAGGTTCATCCTAGCTAAGGGCTTTCAAGATGCGAACCAAAGTAACTGCAGACCAAGATACTAGATATCGTGTATTGGTTTTCTGTTGCTGTATGAGAAAATATATTAATTTAACAGCTTTAAACAACAAAACATTTATTATCCATGGTTTCCATGGGTCAAGAGCTCAGGCCTGGTTTGGTCGGTTCTTCTGTACAACAATCAAGATGTCAGCAAGGGCTGTGGCCTCATCTAAGGCTCATGACCAAGCTCATGTGGTTGTTGACAGGATTTATTTCCTTGCAGCTATAGAATCCACGGTATTTTTTCTTCTATAAGGCCAACAGAAGAGAGTGTCTACACAATCAGAGAATGCTTAAGCCCTCTTTTAAAGTCAGGTCCACCCAGTAAAATCTCTTTGATTACTCAGAGTTAAACTGATGCCAACCTAGTGCATTACTGCTGAGTAAATTCTAACTCATAGCAACTCTATCGGACGTAGTAGAACTGCCCCATGGGGTTTTCCAGGTTGTAAATTTACAGAGTTAGACTGCTGCATCTCTTTTTCTCACACAGCGGCTGGTGGGTTCGAATCGCCAACCTTTTAGTTAGCAGCTGAATATTTTACCATGGCCCTACCAGGACTTCTGTTAATTTGATTGTTGTTGTTGTTGGTAAGTTTTGTTGAATTGGTTCCAACTCATAGTGATTCTGTATAGGGTTTCTGAGGCTGTAAATCTTTGTAGAAACAGAAAGCCTCATCTTTCTCCCTTGGAGTGGCTTGTGGGCTAGGACCATTGGCCTTGTGGTTCACAGTCTAGTGCTTATCCTACAGAACCACTGAATTCCCTTAATTTGATTAGGGACCTTAATTAAATTTGCACAATTCCACCACCATTGCTGTGTAACAGCATAATCACAGGAGTGATATCCCATCACCTTTGCCATCTTCTGTTGGTTAGAAGCAAGATAGACCTTTTCCCCAAATGTAAGAGGAGGGCATTACACAAAGGCATTGATGTGGAGAGCAGGAGTCGCAGTGTTACAGTTTTGAAGTTCCATGCATCCATTATGTAGATTAACTAATAGAGTTTGAATTGTCTTTCGTTGATGTTTATGGGACATTGCACTACTGCTCAAAAACTGAGAACTGGTGGATTCCAGAACTGTGCCAGATAATGCACAAGATGAGAACATCTTGTATCAGAAAGTAAGGAAATGATTAAAGTATGATGGAGACAGTGAGAAGACATAGAAACCAATGTGGTTGGTCCTCTACTGGCCAAATCTGTGCGATTGGAGCATCAAAATGAATAATAAAGGCCAAGTATTATAATCCATATGAATTCCCCCCTTTCATTAAAAAAAAAAAATGAGGTTCAGGTTATAAGTGTAATTCAGGTTATAATTGTAACTAGGAGTAATTGATCCCAAAATGGCATATAATATGTGAATACATGGCTTGGAGCACTCCAAGTGACAAATATGTAATTATAATGTATTGCTAAATAAATGACAATATAAAGCAAATTCTATCACTGAGCATGCCCCTTGTTACCAAGACCCCTGGAAGCTCTGCTCATTGGGTTATTACAAGAATGGTTGTTTCTCTAGAGAATGAGTCTCAGTGTCATCAGACCTGTCTGATATGTCTGGTAAAGATTTACTGAGTCACTTTCAGACAGTTTACTAACTGAATAGGCAGTGAATGGAAGAGTAGCCAGAGTTGTCTGTCCTCAAGTCCTTGTGCCACATACCAGAAATGGTCATTCCAAAACAAAAGGGGTGGGAGAACTGCATTGAGAGTTGTGGCGTACCCCAATACTAAGGAGTCAGTACTAGTCTGTAGCTAAGTGATTTGTAGTCAGCAGATATGCCCTTCAGGAAGCTTCATACTGTATCAGAACCTGAGAGGTGATAGGACTCTTATGACAACTTCCAGAGGATATAGGTGAGTGGGAGCTGGACTGATAAGCCACTCATCTTCTCATGTTTTGCCTGGGAGGATCACAAACATTCTTCCAATGCTCAGATAGATATGGTTCAAATCTTTTGCTGTCTACTCTGTATGAAAGGGTCAGGATGCCATGGCTGAGACGTTCCCTTACACTGAGCCACAGTTACTCCTGTACCTGACCATCCAGATACCTAAGCTGCCACTAGAGGACTCCACTTAAAATACACCCATTTTGTCCTGTCCATATGCTTTGTTTCCTGTCTGGTACCCATCAATGAGGCTGGTACTGGATATGGCTAATTAGGTTGTTTGAGTATGCTTTTCTAGCTGAGCTGCCAAACACTGTCAATTGTACAGAGTGGGTATTATCTAGAATAGATGTAAGTGTCCGTGCCAGGCATACAGACACACACACACGAGAACATGTATATGTATATATTAAATTGCCACAATAACTTTGGTGATAGCAGAACTTTATAATAGTAATGATAGTGGTTCGTACTCTAAAACTGAAGACCTGCCATATTTAGAAGGTTAGTCATCAAAATACACAACTTTGTTGGTACAGCCTCATGAATATTCATCAAGCCAAAGCATGACTTACCATTGTGCCCAAAATGATGGAGCACAAAATCCCACACAACTTACCCAAGGACACATCTCTGGTATTAATTTACTTCCCCAAATTGCTAGCACTGGTGAGTTTTGTTGTTGTTTTTTAGACATGTTATCATCACTGATAACATTTCATGAAGGATTGTTCTTTGCATGGACATATATTGCTATAGCAGCAGCAGTAACATTGTTGATTTATTTGAATTTGGCCTCTGTTTGAAAATATTTCTTTTGCTGATACTATGTTCTCAGTGAAAGTTACACAGTGGTTTAGTCCTCATTGGTTACAATCTTTACAGTTTGTGAACATCCTCACTGTTTATGACCTGGCTGTTCTGTTTTGGCTACTAATTATTAATGTTGGTTATGATTAATCCCACAAAAATACCCAACACCTCTTTTTTGGTTAGGATTTTTTAGGGAAGATTTTAAATAGTCACATGCCTGTATAAAATGTATTATTTTTTCTGAACCATCTTATTTTTAAATTAAGTGAAAGTGTTTTAAATGCCATTCTGGTGAACTGTATACAATCTTTCCCAAGGTTAAGGAACCTCTTTATGATAGCGTAGGTCCAGCCAGCGTGACTTTACAAGACCTCCACGGAATGTTTCATGACCTAGCAGCAGTAGTTGTTGTTAGTGTCACCAAGTTGGTTCTGACTCACAGCAACCCTGTGTAGGTGTCTGTGGAGTAGCTGGTGGGTTGAAACACCAAGCTTGGGGTTAACAATCCAGTGTTTATCTTAAAGCACCACACCAGGATCCCAACAGCAATAAACATAGTCATTCATATAGTTACAAAACTACCATGAATTTTCTTATGTCAACAGTACCTTCAAATGCCACAAGATGGAGATGTTAAGTATAGAAATAAGTAACTATGTATTATAGTTATAAAGTATAAATATAATCCTGGTGTGGCACTGTGGGTTAATGCGCTGGATTTAACTTTGCAAAGTCAGTTTGAACCATAAAGCCAGCGGTTCAAGCCTACCAGCTGCTCCTTGGAAACTCTATATAGGGTCGCTGTGGGTCGGAATTGACTCGACAGCACTTAACAACAACAAATATATATATACAGTTATTTTCATAGTTAATTTTATAGATAATATTGTTGTTAAGTATATATATATATATATATATATATATACAGTTACTTATTTTCATAGTTAATTTTATGGATAATATTGTTGTTGTTAAGTGCTGTCCAGTCAGTTCCGACTCATAGCAACAACCCTGTATAGAAGAAGTGGCTGGTGGGTGAAGTACCAGCCTTAGGGCCCAGACAGACTTTGCAGTCCAGCCTGCAGTGTCACACCAGGACTCCATCCACATCAGGACTCTAGGGATGAGTGTTGGTGTGTTGCATAGCATGCCATTTTTTTCTTCTAATAGGAGAGCACTGGCATTTTTCAAGCTCATGCTAAGTGTTAGATGCTGTGCTAAGTGTTTGAAAAACAGCATCACCCTAATTTTCGTAAGTGAGCTAAATTGATTCTTTTCATTTTGTTGTGTTATTAAGTACGTCAAGTCAGTTCCGACTCATAGCGACCCTGCACAGGGTTTCCGAGGCTGCAAATCTTTTTGGGAGCAGAAAGCCTCATCTTTCTCCTGCAGAACAGCTGGTAGTTTCGAACTGCTGACCATGAGATTAGCAGCCCGATTCATATGAGGTGAGAAAATATGAGGCTCAAAGAAGCCTGCAAAGTGATTCGCAAAAGTCATATATGCTGTAAGTGGTAACACTGGATTGCAAACCCAGGTCTGTCTGAATACAGAAGTCAGCCTCTCTGTTTTCAAACATGCGGCTTCCCTGTTGATACTTAGAGTAGAGAGATGGCAGGAACACACATGCCCGCAAACTCTAACTACTGCTGCTGAGTTGGGTCTGACTCATAGAGACCCTGCAGGGCAGAGTAGAACTGCCCCACAGGTGTTCCAAGGTAAGTCTTGATGGAAGCCAACTGCCAGATCTTCCTGTGGCCGAGCAGCTGGTGGGTTTGAATGCACTGACCTTTAAGTTAGTAGCCAAGCATTTAGCCCCTATGCCACCAGGGGTTCTGTCAGACAATAAGGAAGATTTAAAACTACACTGAAAATGTCTTGTTCTCCCTGCATGTCTTTATCTTTTATTGGGTATATTGTTCTCTTCTACCATATTATGTTGTTGTTGTTGTTAAGTTCCATCGAGTTTTTTTTTAACTCATAGCTACTCTGTATAGGGTTTCCGAGGAGAGGCCGGTTGAATTTCAACTGCTAAATTTGCAGTTCAGATTGACCTTACAGTCCATTGTTTACCCTACAATGCCACACCAGGACTCCTACCATATTATAATTCTCCTTTAACTGGCCTTAATACAAATCTCCACCTCTCCTTTTCATACATGTTTTTCCTGTGAGATCCTAATTATCTATTTGATGGCCACCATCCACTGCCACTCCTTGCTCATATGATAAATTTAGGAGGCACCTACCTTTTTTCTGTCCCCTAATCCTGGTGTGGCGCTGTGGATTAATGCGCCAGACTGCAAAGCCGTTTGAACTGCGGGGCTGGCAGTTCAAGCTTACCAGTCGCTCCTCAGAAACCCTCTACAGGGTAGCTGTGGGTCGGAACCGACTCAATGGTACACAACAGCAACAACTCCCCACCCAAGTCCAGTCAATCACTGAGCTTTCAAAATATCCTCTCTTCTTACTTTTATTTCCTTACCTAGCGCTTTCCCACTATCCCCGACTCCTTTACTGTGCCCAGATACACTGATCCTGGCTGAATTTATGGTGGCATCAGTGACTCCTAGAACACACCTTACATGGCCATATTGGAAACCCAGTGTTTTCCATAAGCTTCTAATGGTGGTGGTGGTTGTGTGCCTTGGAGTTGGTTCAGACTCATAGCGACCCGGTGTAGGGTTTCCAAGGAGCAGCTGTGAGTTTGAACTGCTGACCTTGCAGTTCAAACTGAATTGCAGTCCACTGCTTATCCTACAGTGCCATAGGAAGCTCTGGTGGTACAATGCTTAAGCGCTCAGCTGCTAATCAAAAGCTTAGTGATTTGAACCCACCAGCCTCTCTGCAAGCAAAACCATGTGGTAATCTGCTCCTCTAAGGATCACAGTTTAGGAAGCTATGGGGCAATTCTTTGTTGATAAGGTCACTATGAGTCAGAATCAACATAATGGCACATACCAACATCAACACATATGCAATATATAGCACACGTAGGTTATAGCTGTGTCTGTTGGTATGATGCCTCAGTTTGACTAACTTCTGCTGAACGGTATTCTGATACATTTAATTTGCTTGTGAGTTATATTACTAGTCAGAAGCAGAGCTAAAAATAAACTGTCTTTAAATTAAATATGTTGTTTTTAATTGCTTGAGTACTTATGCTCACAAATGGAAGAACATTGCTACAAACTTAAAATGTTTATAGCTAAATAATTTCATTGAGAACTTGCTGTTGTCTAACATAAAAACCAAACCTACTGCTAGATTCTGACTCTAGTGACTCTGGAGGGTAGAGTAAACTGCTCCATAGGATTTCCGAGGCTGTAATCTTTACGGAAGCTGACTGTTTCATCTTCCTGCAGATCGATGGTGGGTTCAAACTACCACACTTTCAGTTAGTCACCCAGCGCTTAACCTGCTGTTGCACCAGGACATTCTCTACTAAAGCTAATAAACATTTCAGAAATTATAAATGTTCTCAGAGGAGGAATACATACTTTATCCTTTCTTTTTTTTTTCCAAATAGTGTTCAGAATCAGGTGGATGAAGTTATTGATGTTATGCAAGAAAATATTACAAAGGTAATTGAAAGAGGGGAGAGACTAGATGAACTACAGGACAAATCAGGTACAAACACTTTATATATTTTTGATATTATTTATCTATGCTGTAGAGTTTATTTAATCAAAATTTAAGATGATGGTTTAGGAAATTCATATTTGGTTCTTAAGTTTATGACTTTAATGGTTTAAATTTAGCTTCTTTGATATTGAATCAGTTTATTGTATTATTTCTTTAATTGTTGTTTTGAAGTGCGTTCAAGGGTTTCTAAGGAGCAGTTGATGTGTGTGAACCACCAACCCTGTGGTTGGCAGTCCTGTGCTTATCCTACAGCGATTGTTCTGTTAAGTAGGGAGAATTTCAAAATTAATTGTTGAAGCGTTGAAATAGAAAAAACAACCCTTGAGTACTTTTTTTTTCTTTTGCTCTAATATGTTCTACTCTGTAATTCTTTTGATCTCAAGGATTAGAAGTCTAAGTACTTTTTTCCAACACTTATTTTAAATTTAAATGATGCTTCTGTGCTTTGCTGGTAGCTTCATAATCTTTCTTTACTGACAAATGCTGATCTTCGTATATTTAACGGTGCCTGGCATATGGTTTTGTTGTTGTTGTGTCCATCGATTCAGTTCTCGTAGTGTCCCTGTGTAGGGTTTCTAAGAGTGACTTGTGGGTTTGAACTGCTGACCTTGCAGTTAGCAGTCCAGTGCTTATCCTATAGTGTCACACCAGTGCCTTATATATACTTGTTGTTAAGTGCCATTGAGTCAGTTCCGACTCATAGCAACCCTGTGTAAAGTTTACAAAGAAGGGGTTGTTGGACTTGAACTGCTGACCTTGTGGTTCAAACCAGCCTTATGATCCAGTGCTTATCCTACAGCGCCACACTGTGTGGTGGTTGTTAAGTGACCCCCTGTGTATACTAGGCATTCAAATATTGTTTGAATGATGAACAGATGAATACCTGGATAATTAATCATTGACAGACTTACTTAACCAAAAAACTTAATCTGACCACTTTTCAGATGAGCCTTCAGTTCCAATTTCCCACAAACTTTTTGAAGCCCCCTTGTATGTGCTGTTGCTTCAAATGCAGCCTACTTTTGATGTCATGTGGGAATCTGACCTTCATATATGAGTATTTTCTACTGATCTGCCAAGTATTTGAATTTTTCAACATTTCCTTATCAGAATTTATATTAAAAAATGTCATTGACACCCTGGGTAGACTTCTCTTAATATTATAGTCAAAGTGGATGATGCCAGCTGACCTACAGCAGTTTTTTTTGTTTTAAATATAGAATCTGTGGGTGGAAGAAAGAGAGGATGTTATTTTCATGCTTAAAAGGGAATGGGTTTGTAGGAGTAGAAATTAATATTTTCTTGTCTTTGTGTGACTAGATAAACGAATCCTGTTATGTCGTTTAATCCTTCTCTCCACCCTCTATGTGATACAGAAAGCTTATCGGATAATGCAACTGCTTTTAGCAACAGATCCAAACAGCTTCGAAGGCAAATGTGGTGGCGTGGATGCAAAGTAAGTGAGTTGGAACATACTCGTTGTGTTGGATAGCATGTCAAGTAGTCTTCAGAGACACGAAGGAAAACAACGTCTAGATAAGAAACTTGGTGAGGACAGGGACTGTAACTAGCTTACTTATTATTTTGTCTTCTGAACCTGGGACGGGGGGAACTCAGTTAGTGTATGCCACATTAAGTTGTACTAGTTCAGGGAATCTGTTGTTAAGTACTAATCAAGTTGGCTCCAACTCATAGTGCCCTGTATAGGGTTTCCCAGGAGTGGATGGTAGGTTTGAAACACCAGCCTTGCAGTTAGCAGTCCACTGCTTATCCTGCAGCACCACACCAGGACTCCTAGTGGAGTCTAGCATTGACTAAGAGATGCTGTCATAGGTTTCTTCATAGAAAAGAAGCTACATTTTATTAATAACTGGCTTTAGACCTAATATAACAAATACAAATTTTTATATTTGTATCATCATATAACTTATATTAGTACTTTTTAGAGCACCTATAGCATAAACCTCGAGATAGTAAAAGTCAATAAATATAAATTAGAAAGAAGTACAATTCTCTGTTGAAAGAGGAAAAGAGAAAAACAGTTCACATATCGGAATTTGTTATGGAAAATGAGGCTAAGGAAAAAAAAAAATTCTTATATCCCGCATTATTCTAGACAGTGTTCTATTAGGCCCACAGAAATTTTTAACAAGGGGAAAAAGGGTAAATCACTCTATACTAATGTAGTCCTGCAAAACATTTCCTAGAAGTTAATTTATCTCTGAGAAGTCCTGGTGTACTGGTGTGGGAAAAGCACTGGACCGCAAGGTTGGTTTGAACCTCAGGGTGGGTGGTTCAGATTCACCAGCCACTCCTAGGAAACCCTGTACAGGGTTGCTGTGAGTTGGTACTGACTTGATGGCGCTTAATAACAACAACAACAATTTACCTCTTAAGTATGGCTTCTAATCATTAAACATAAAATGTTTCTTTTAAGATTTTATGGTGAATTTAATGTCATGTGAGCAAAGACTTTCTCCCAATTTTATGTGTCAGTTTTTGCTTTGTTGAAATCTTAGACATGAGCTCATTGGTATTTCAAGTTTGGCAATAACTTTCTAAACCTTTCTTTGCCATCTGCTAAGGATTTCTTGCCTTGGATTTACTGATTTTTTTTTTTTTTAATCTATTTGTTGAATCTTGTTACTTTAGAAGTAGATCTGAGAAAAGAAATATGTTTCATTCCGCCACCTTAGTTTAGAATATTTAGCCCATACATTTCCTATTCTGTACCCTAGTTTGTAAAAGCACCATCTATGAGCTATTCATTCTCTCTTCCTCCTCACATTCTCGTAGCCATAACAGGTAATCATAATGCGTACTTTGCCTAGACTATTTGTCCCCTCTGAGCAGAGAGCCTCTCCAGGTTTTGTTTACATGACCCACTTTGACGCACACACAGAGCTCACTACCTCTCTCGTCTTGCCTTGTGATGAGGGCAAACCTTTCGCTTGGCAGTTGAGGATATGGTGGTTGTAGGGGGAAGCTAGTACATGTAAGAGCAAGCTACTCAAGCTAGTTAGTGTTCAAGAAGGTTCAGAAGCTGTGGCTGAAGAAGATACCTAGCCTTTTTTAACCTTATCTAAAGAGCTCTGGTAAGGAGTTCTGATAGCATAGTGGTTACGAGTCAGGCTACAAATCTCACAGTCATCAGTTCAAAACTCCCAGCGGTTTAGAAGAAGAAAGATGAGGTTTTTGCTCCCGTAAAGATTTACAGCTTTGGAAACCCGATGCAGAGCTGCTATGAGTTGGAACTGACTATCCAGCATATAACCACCACCACCACCAAAGACTTTCATTTTATGCTTTTCATTTATAAGAGGAATAGTATATTTTTTCAGGGGAAAGTGGAATTATATTTTTGAACAGTATGTTTATCACCCTGGGGTCCTTTGAGGATCACTAATAGCATTGACCATATATTGAAAAACATTTTTCTATAACTTAATACAGAGCATTTAAAGCAGCAATTACTGCTCTGTCTCTCTGCGCCTCATGGGTATCTGATTGTGCTGTTACCCACCGGGACTGCCTCTCCATGCCTGCTGTCTGTGGATTGACTTCCATGGGGATGATTTAGGAAATTTTAAGATAAAGGATCAAGGGGCACAAAACAGATCAGGGGTTGCCAGTGACTAAATGTGGGGGTGGGTAAAAATTGCATATAGCGGGGCAGGAGGGAATTTTGTGAAGTGGTAGAAATGTTCTATATCTAAACTACAGTGGTTGGCCCACCAAAAACCCCACTGCCATTGAGTCCGTTGTGATTCCTTTTGACCCCTTGGACGGAGTAGACCCCATGGATGGAGTAGAACCCACAGACGGAGTAGAACTGCTCTGTAGATATAATCTTTATGGAAGTAGACTGCCACACTTTTGCCTATTGAGTTCACACTGCTGGCCCCTTTAAACAGTGCTCTACCAGGCCTCCTTGTAATAGTTAACAGTTGCCTATATTTGTTTGATCTGCAAGGTTGACAGTTCAAGCTCACCAGCCGCTCCTCGGCAATCCTATACAGGGTTGCTATGGGTTGGAACTGACTTGACGGCACTTCCCAACAGCAACATATTTATTAAAACCCACCGAACTGTACTTTAAAATGATGAAGTTTACTTTCTATAAAGTATAACTCAATAAACCTAACTTACAAATAAATAAGTGGCTGGGGTGGAGGAAGAGGGAGAATCCCTGACATCTCTAAGTATCTAGGAAGCTCAGATAAATGGATTTTGCCCATATGCCATTTGGAAGAAAAGAGCTTTCAACATGCATGGATATCATACTACCATTTTTTGATATAGACATTTTCTGGCAGTGTTAGAAACTCAAGGAAGAAATCTCTACTCATTGAGATATCTTAAAATTGATAGTGATGTTTCCTTTTAAGTCTTCAAAATGTTAAGTGTAGGATACATTAACAGGACAGATTAAAATATGTTTTGGGCAAAGTTTCAAAACTACTATAGAATTCCAAATTGGTTTAGAAATATTTTTGAGATTTAAAAAAAGAGAAAGATTAAGTATTAGGTGAACCAGACATCTGCTAAGAATATGGCTCATATCTCTATGTGGTCTGAGTCTGTTTCTACAGTTTTGGGCTATCATAATTAATACTTTTAATAGGTGCTCATGTCCAAATTGCAAAGATTCCATATATCCTCTGGGTCATTTTGTTATTGTCATGAATGTAATGCCACTAAAATGTCATAGTAATTTATTTCACAACAGCTAATTAGCTACTTGATTGCTCTTTGTTTCATCTGTTTATAATAACTGGGCTTTTTTCTTTTCTTTTATCAATTACCTACGAAAATGATGAAAACAAGGCTTTCATTTGAATTCATCAGAAAAATAACATCAGTTTATAAATTATGTGTTTTAGAATTCAATGATGAGTGAGAGATTTTTCTTAGAGATAAAGAAGCTTAAAGAAACGAAGTAGGACTAATCTTTAGGCTTTGCCTGTCACGTGAAACTGGTACACAAGATACTGATTAAATGAGGTTATTCATGAAGAATCTAAATGATATTTTTCAAATGGAGATTAAAATGCCAAGAAGGAACTAAGGGTGGGGAAAGCGGACAAAAGTCTCATATACTTATAAAACTGCTGCTTATGTCATGTAATACTCAACTGTTGGGCAGTTGACTGCCTGTATTGTTATTCATCGTATACTGATGCTTTGACAGGGTTACTCAAATATCATATGCTTTTCCTGGTCTCATAGTAAAAATAAACCTGAGAGGAAATCATACACAAAAGGGTCCAGGTCCATGAAGTCTTTGACCATTACTATTTACTATAGCAGATAGCCTTGAACAATGAAATCCAGCCCAGAAAAGCCCTCAAATTTGGAGATGTGAAATAACCAGCAGCTTTATTGAGAATACCTTTCAAGGAATGTGCCAGTTTATTGATAACTTAGTGCCTTAGTATAATGTCATATATAGCATAGCAGATAGTTTTGACTGTATTGAGAAATCAGATATTAATATGCTGGTTTATTTTTTGTTTTGCTGTGTCTTGTGTGTTACAGATAAAAGCCATTATGGCTTTGGTTGCTGCCATCCTTTTGCTAGTGATTATCAGTAAGTATTAACTGGATTGTAACTCACTGGGGACACCATTGTTTTACAGTTCATTTTTCAGTCCCTTTTACATTTATTTTCAGTTGGCTCAGAATGACTGCTGTCAGGATAGAGTAATGACTTGTATCCTGAGTCAGGGGCTCTGTGACTTTCTGGAAATGCTCTAAGTTGAGACTGTGCTGATGTCCATTTTATAAGGCTGTTGTTGTGTGCTGTCATTTCTGATTCATAGTGACCCTGTGTAGGATTTCTGAGGCTGTAGATCTCTTGGGGAACAGAATACCTCATCTTTCTCTTGTGATGCTACTGGTGGATTCAAACCACTGAGCCTTAAGTTAAAAGTCTAACACATGCAACCCACTATCCCACCAGGGCTCTGGCTTTTTTTGTAAAAACAAAACAATCTTTTAATTCCCACTGAAATTTGGAGAAAAAAATAATAAATGTACTCCTTTTTTTGTAAGGAGATTTTGATACTTTCTCTGACTCTCAATTGGAATTCCCCTCCACTTCCCCGTTCAGGCCTTTACTCACCCCAAATTTGAAATGATTGCTGCTACACTCAGGACCACAGCCTACATTTTCTATTTATTCTTAAATTTCAGCTATTGCAAATTGCATCTCATAACATTGTGCTTGAAAGAAAAAGATAACTTCTCCAGATGATGATGGGATTTCTTTGTTTGTTTGTTTGTTTGGTGTTTTGGGATTTGAGTTTGATTTTAGCCATTAGAGTTTAGCTTCTCCCCTTTTCTTCCCTAATATTCAAAAGTCAGATCATTTTTAATATTTTTTTTTCTCCAAAGTCTGTTTACCTGTGTTTACAGGGATTTTATGAAGATTACAAAGTCTCAAAATAACCTTTTGAAGAACTCTATAGCACTACTCTCTTTTTAAGGAGAAAAGAGTTTTGTTACAAAGAACTATATATGCGTGGTGGACAGTTTGGAAACCATGGGATAACATAACTGTTAATAGGATAAACACTGATCTGCAAGGTCGGTGGTTCAGATCTACCAACTGTTCCTCAGAAACCCTACATAGGGTCACTACAAGTCAGAACCGACTCCACAGCACTAAGTAACAAACAACAATATAAGTATTGCATATACTCTAGTCTCATCTTATGATTATGTAAGCATGTTTTTTTAAAAAATTAATATTAAAAGGTAATATGCATGTTGTTGTGAAGTGAGTCAGAAATGACGGCACACAACAACATAGTGACCTCTAATAAATATATTGTGAATATTGTTTCATGTTATTAAGTATATTTTATAGTATTTTAACAACTGCATGTTGTACTTACAATCGATTTGATTGTAATGCCAATGTGAGACATTTAGGTAATTTCATGAAATTTTTGCTTCTCTTTAAAATCCAGCCCTTAATACCCATTTCTAAAACAGGGCACAGCTACATCTAGGAATATTGCTTCTAACATAGCATACGAATCTGATTTTGATATGTTCCTTTTTTTCATTCTTTTCTCTTGCAGTTCTTATAGTTGTGAAATACCGTACTTGATTTGATGACAGAAATCTTCATCAAACAAGATCTGGGACAATAATAATAATAAAAGATTGCTGCATAATTTAAATGAAACCTATGTATATACTGTCAAAACTTCTTTTTTAAGAAACTAAAAGGCAAGTATCACTGCAAATTGGATCACTGAGAATGCCAGTTATCTTATTCCCTTCTAATAAAACATGCTTTTAGTAATTTGGTTGAAGGCAAAAATAACTAGCCTCTATGTTACCATATTCCAAGGCTCTAATTTGAAAGTAGATACTTGCCAGCTCATTATTTATGTATATAAACACTGTTGATGATATTTCATACTGCTATTTTAATGGCGTCAGAACTTGAATTACTGCCTCAAGGTGGGAGTCAGCCTATGTAGAATACCGAATCACTCTACTTAAAGAGATGCAGAGTCATCCTGCCAGTCTTTGCAGGATTATTCTTCTCACATTACAGCTGCTTTGCATTCAGTTTCCACATGTTTATGGCTGTAACAAAAGCTAACTGTTGTAAATGTTGCTGCCTTCAGCTATAACTAAAAACATTCCAGTAAACCTCTTTTTTTTTACTGTATAAGGGAATGGGTAGTAATTTTTTTGCATTTGGATTACAAAAGAAGAAAAATGAACAGTGTGAAAAGCATAGTATGTCACTGTAAAGCTAGAGATCATAAAATTACTGGAGAACATTATTGGAGCGTTTGAAAATGACCGATATGTAGCTGCAAATCATGGTCTAGTCTGTTTTCAGTTAACCTCCATTTGGAAGGGACCAGTGATTATGTGAGTAAATGAATTCCACAGATAATTTATTCCCTATTTTTATTCTCATGAATAGTTTTCCTCTTTAGCTCCAAATAGTCCTTTTGCCAGAAGTGCAAAATTGTTTGCTTTGAATTGATTTCTTTGCATTCCCTTAATCATTTTCTGGGTGGTGCATGTTGTGCAGTAAAGTGTTGAATCAGCCAACGATAAGTTATAAACATTCAGGAGCCTAGGTTTCTGTGTACAGGATAATCAGTCAATCAGTAACCAGATGCTAGAGCCTGTTTTTATAATGATAAGATGTGTTACTAAGTTAACTTTCAAATGTGCCAACTTCCTTGTATTGTTAATCAAGTCAGTGTAAAAATACATAGTCCACTAATGTACGTGGGGTGGAAACTTTATAATAAAATTGGATATTCTTCAGAAACTTGCGTACTTGGACATATACTCTTTAGAAGTTTTATAAATTTCCTAAGTTTAAAATCAAAATGCTCGAAAAAACAGTATTTAAATAGGAAATTTTTTCATTTAGGGGGTGGGTTGTTTTAATGCAAAATGGATGAAACATAGAATATGCTTGTGGTGGTATTTTGTTTTAACTCTGCAGGTACTAAGAGGCAAAAATGTTCTATTTAGAATGGAAACAAATTTGAATGGAGAAAGCAGATTAAGAGACACTTAAGACACCTGCAAATTTGAAAGCTACATCTAATTGCTAAATTTTTGCTAAGAGCATTAAAAAAGAGATAAAGGTCTTCCATACTATTACGCGTTGTCTCTTTGTAGATGTCAGTTAATGTGAACAACCTTTGTGCTCTAACAAATCCTTTGACAAAAGAGCAGAGCCCAAAAAATGAACAGTTTTGGAATTGCTGTAATTAACAGATTATAGCTAATAATTTTAACAACAATGATAATGTTTTGAGTGGGTGTAATCAGTCCACATGTATATACATATGTATGTATGTGTGTATGTACAAAAGCCCTTCATTTGGGATTGGAACTAGAATCAAAAGTCATTAATTTTCCATTAGTTGGTATAGAAATCTGATTTTTCCAGGATATCAGTCAGTAAAGATAAATGATATTTATCAAAGACAATATCAGCCAGAAGCTACATTTCCAGTGTTTCTTTTTTAAAAAGTATACCTCTTTTAAGGAAATAATTATAAGGAAGAAAAATAAAATACAAAATTAATCACATTTTTAATCATAAGAAATAAAGGACAGATTTATATGGCCGTCCATGTTGGATATACATAGTTCTCTGTGTGTTTACAGGGCCTGCTGCTGAGAATGCTGTGGCAGACCTGTCTCTGTGTTAGAATTTTGTAGTAGGGGTGGTTTGCTTCTCAGTCCCAGTGATTCCAGTTGCACTTATCCATGGCTAACATGTTTATGACTTCATTGTGGTCATGAACATGGATTCAAACACAGAAAAAATAAGTCCGTTTTCCAAACTGATGCTAGGCCCACCTTTCCTCCCTCCCTTAACGTTCTTTTTCTCATTCAGCTCAGATCATCCTGCACTTGAGAAATGGCATTTTACCACCTTCAAAATGATCATTATTTCACAACAATGAAGATCAACAGAAAAATTGAAGTAGCTTTGTGAATACTGCTTTTCATGTTGTAACTGAATAGTTGATGTCCACGATATATTCACTAGGAAGTGATTATCGGTGAAATTCGGTCTTTCTGTTTTCATAATGCCTGAAAATGTAACTTGGGTTTAAGCTTAATTACAGAAGCCTAAGACCCAGCAGTGATTTCATGATTCTAATGCCTGATTAACTGTCCCTCTTCCTACTTATGACTCAGTAATACCTGTGGTCTTTTGGTTCCTATATCCCAGTAAAGCTCTCTGTGATCGTATAAACTGAGGAATTTCTGGATTAAAGGAAATTCAGTATTGAAAAGGGAATATTATCAGAGTCCTTGAAATCAAATGATTACATTTTTTAAGACTACAAAGTAAATTGCAGAAATCGGCAGCAGTTGTGGTCAATGAAATACCAGAAGTCAACTCTTAAGACTATGTAAACACCTTGGGACTTTTTATAGGGAGTGGGGGGCCTTGGGTATGTGTCATTATTTTAAATGCCACACTCCTTTATTTAACCAGTTTGTTAAGTACCTTTGATGTTTGCAGATGTGTGAACGGTCGGTGAATTAATGAAAATTCACGTGCCCTATTCTGTAGCATCTCAGTTCTGCATAGCAATTTTTATGAGTTTTTTAAAGTTCAGTCATTTGTTTTCATATCAGATACATATTTGTAGCCCCTCCATGTTGCTGTTTGTTCTTAGGTGCCATTGAGTTGGTACCGACTCATAGCAACCTTATGTACAGCAGAACAAAACTCTGCCCGATCCAAACATGATATCCTTCTTCAGCGATTGGACCCTCCTGACAATATGTCCAAAATATGAGAGATGAAGTTTAGCCATTCTGGCCTCCAAGGAGTACTCTGGCTGCACTTCTTCCAACACAGATCTGTTTGTTCTTTTGGCAGCCCATGGCACTTTTCAATATTCTTCTCTAACACCATAACTCAAAATCATCAATTCCTCTATGGTCTTCCACCATAGTGAACAGTAAAATAACTATTTCTTAGAAAACAAAAATTAGGTGTTTTGTGTTTTTAATTTAGTAACTTTCCAAGCATAGTTATTTAAATCTGGCTAATAACCTCCATTTTAATTCATAAAGTACACAAAAAAATAAGTTATTTCACCAAAAACTGTACCCAATACCATATAGAAGACATAGAAGAAATGATGCATTTGATTTTTTTGTGTTGGAGGAGAATATTAAAACTACCATGGATTGCCAAAAGAAGAAACCAATCTGTGTTGGAAGAAGTACAGGTTATTCCATAAATCCAGAATGACTAGACTTTGTCTCTCATACTTAAGACATATTTTCAGGAGGGACTAGTCCCTGGAGAAGGATATCATGCTAGATATAGTGAAGGGTCATTGAAAAAGAGGAAGGCACCCAATGATGTGGAATGGCACAGTGTCAGCAGCAATGGACTCAAGCATAGCAACAATTGTCAGGTTGGTGCAGGATCAGGCAGTGTTTCGTTCTGTTGGGCATAAGGTTGCAATGAGTCTGGGCCAACTCAATGGCACTTAACAAGAGCAACAACACACCCAATACATAACTTACTAACAGGAAGAATTTCGATATGCAAAATCACTGAATCTCAATACAAAGAAAATCATTAGTGGAATACTCATGCTTTACCTCAGTGCTGTCCACTTGAAGGAAGAAGAGAATACATTGGCTAATCAATTCAGACTCCTGTGCTCCAATCAGAAAGCCTCGCACCCATCCTTCAGCTGGGGTGCTGCTTTTAGAGGCAGCAGAGTACTCATTCCACTTCACAAACTAGACTTTGTCTTTTTAATACTCAGAAAAGGTGTGGGAGGGGATGGTATTAGCCCACACTGTACCCTGAGCTACATACTCTCCACAATTAAAGTGGAAGGGAGAAGGGAGGCAGCCTGAGAATGAATTACAGCACTTAATCTGACTAGCATGAGAGAACTAAGCAGGAAGGTCAGATCCCACCTAAAACCAGCGAAGTCACGCTTAGAGAATGCCTATTAAATGCTAAAATCTGTCCTGTAGCAGTAGTCTACCTACCTGTCTGCTCTCACTTGTAGCTTTCATAAAGAGTTTGGACTAGTAACCAAATGTATAACTGAGAAGAGCCAAGGGCAAGACATTCACCCAATTTATTGAGTGGGAGGTCTAGATCTCTTCATCTGAGGATATCTTAAAAAAACAATGGAGTCTAGAGAAAAGAACTGTAGCAACCAGGGACAAGACCATCCTTTTAGATCATAACTAATAGCAAATAAGCATGCTGCTGTTCTTCTTCTGTCTGAAACTCTCTTTTCCTCACTTCCCATCAGTTTCACACCCTATCTTTACTCTTCTGTACAACAATAGTACTTAAAAGGTGCTCAAACTTGCTACTCCAGTTCTTTTTTGTACTTTCTCATCAGTCAAGCTTTTGCCTCCACTCTGCACTGAACATACTCTTGTTGTGGTCACTAATTCTCAGCATTGCTAAATCCAGGGAACAAGTTTCAGCCTTCATCTCAGCATTTGGTGCTGTTGATTACTCTCCTCAATACATACTTTCTGGTCTTGATTATTAATGTTTTATTGTGAATTATGTGATAGTTTGCATGAGAGAACATTAGCTTTACATTTAT